ATAGTATGAATCAAGCAATGAAAATTTTACTAAAAAAAAGTAGGTGATACAAACACCAAACACCAGAGTACAAATAAAAAATAATAATACATCAAAACAACACTAACACACAAACACTAACACTACTCCCTCTTTTGACATCACAAAAAGGAGGACGAAGAAGAAAAAAAACAAACAACTTAGAAACTAACAATAGTGCAAGGAAAAAAACCAATAAAAATAAAATATAAAATAACAAAAGACGATAAAAATAATAAAAAGAATGAAAAATAAAGTTTTATCAATGCAAGAATACAATAAATTTTTAATGTGATTGAATTAAAAATTTGTAACAAATGAGTTAACATTACTTAAATCTAAAAAATGATAGAAAAATCGATCATGTTATCCCTAGCTCAGATTCCCTACAATGTATAAAACTTTTGAAAATAAAAATATAGCTCAGAAAGAAAAACAGTCAAGAAAAGTGATCTATTCAACACTTCTTTCTAGAAAATATATATGATAGAGTAATGTACCAAAGTAATTATTCAAAATCAATGATTTCAAAAATCAAGTGATTGAAGATATCAAGTGACATATGAATTTTTTTAAGATTTAAAGGTTTGAAAGAGAAGGAAGCTTGATTTTTATGGGCTCATTTTGTGCCTCTTATCAATTATTTGATGCACTTTGCACATCTTTTGAATTTTGATATACTTTGTGTATCTTTTAAAATTTTTTGGCGATTATTGCACATCTTTTCACTTTTTTGGGGGCTTATTTTACGCCTCTTGTCATTTTTATGAGCTAGCTCCCTTTTGAAACCTTTAAAGACTATCAATTGTGAGAATATGTTCCAGATAATAGAGAAGAAAATCTCACTCTTTAATATAAGGAAGAATATATCATAAAATAGAATAATATTCAAATGATAAATGCAACAACATGATCAAGAAAATCTTGAAGGTGATTTAATGACTTTGAACATTATTCATATGAGACAAATTGCTGTAGGAAGATAGAAAAGATCTCAATATCAAAGTTTTTTTTTAATTAAAAAAAAATTACTTTAAAAAGAAACTTACACCTCTAAAGGAGTTAGAGGAAGGGAAACGATCAATATTGTTTCTTCCTTTAACTAATTTAGGGATGTCAACCATTGATTACAAATTTTAAAAAATACAAATAATACATAAAATATCAATTCAGCAGTGATCAAAAGAAAACTAAAAGGAGCAAAAAAATACAAAACTAAAAACATGAAAAATACTAGCAAAGAAATAGGAACGACCAATCAAAATAAGAAAGAAATAATCAAAAACAAAAGAAAATCAGAAAATAAAAACAAAAGAAAAATAATAAAATATAAGGTTCAGAGTTTAGTAATTATCAAATTTATATACTTGTGTCAATCACACCCAAACTGATCCTCAAGATGTTGAATGTGTCAAAGGCTAGTGATTTAGTAAAGATATTAGCCAGTTGATTTTTAGTTGCTACATGGTGTAACTCAATATCTCCTTTAGTAATATTGTCCCAAATAAAGTGATGCCTTATATCAATATGTTTGGTCCTTGAATATTGGATACGATTTTTAGAGATATAAATAATACTGATGTTATCACATAGAATTATAATTGTGCCAACAGATAATCCTAAATCCAGAATTTGTTACTTTAACCAAATGACTTGTGCCATAAAAGTTTTTAAGGCAATGTACTCAGCTTCAGTAGTGGAAAGTCTAACAGAGTTTTATTTTATACTGGACTAAGAGACTAAGGACTGTCCTATGAATTGACAAGTTCCAGAAGTGATCTTTCTATCCACTCTACACCCTATAAAATTATAATCAGAATATTCAATAATTTTAAAAGAAGTATTGTACCTAGGATACTAGATTCTTTCTTAAGTTTTGAGTCCCTAAGAGATATCTAAGGATTCTCTTAAATGCAGTTAGGTGGGATTCTATAGGATCAGCTTGAAATATAGCATAGAGACAAACACTAGACACTAAATCAAGTAAAGTAGTAATCTAATCATTCTTCTATACTTCTTTTGATCAACATATTTTCTATTTAAGTACTTATATAACTAAACACTAGAGCTCATAGGAGTGTTTATTGTCTTGGCATTATCCATTTTATATTTCTTCAAGATGTCATTAATATATTTTGATTGATTAAGAAATATTCTATTATCCAACTGTCTTATGCTAAATCCCAAAAAGTAGGATAATTCTATCTTCATACTCATCTCAAATTTTTTACTCATTATTTTAAAAATATCATCACATAACTTTTTATTAGAAGATCTAAAAAGTATATCATCAATATGAATCTGAATAATGAGTAACTTATCTCCTTTTTTTTTTAGAAAAAGGGCAGTGTCTATGCTCCCCTTAATAAACTCCCTCTCTAATAGCAATGTGTTAGGCCTTTCATATCAAGTTGTGGGTGCCTGTTTTAATCCATATAAGGTCTTTTTTAATTTATAAACAGGATTTCAAAACTTAGGGGTTGCTCTATAAACACATCATCTTTTATTATCCCGTTTAAAAGACACTATTGACATCCATTTGGAAAAGCTTAAATTTCTTATAACAGAAAAATGCTAGTAGCACTCTAATGGCTTCCAATCTAGTTATAGGGGTAAAGGTCTCCTTAAAATCAATATCTTCTAGTTGGTTGTACCCCTTAGCCACTAATCTTACCTTATTCATAACCACCACACCAGAATCATTCATTTTATTTTTAAAGACCTATTTGATTCCTACCACACTTTGATTCTTAGATCTTTCTACTAACTCTCAAACATTATTCCTCACAAATTGGTTAAGTTGTTCATATATAGCTAAATCTATAATTCATTAGAAAGAGCTTGATTAATATTGGTGGGTTCAGTCATTGAGATAAAGTCAGAGTGGTTTACTTCCTTCATAAGTCCATGCCTAGTTCTAACACCTTTAGAAGGGTCTCCTAAGATCAATTCTTTAGGATGACTTGAAGAATATCGTCAATCTCTAGGCAAAATGTTTTGAGGTTTTACCCTTTCTTCCATATTTACAGTTTCTACTCCTTGGGTAATCTCACATACTCTATCAGTGTTTTGAGGCTATACCCTTTTCTTCAAATTTATAGTTTCTACTTCTTAGGAAATCTCTCTAACTTCATCTTTTTCCTTAACTCTAGATTTCTTAGGATCAGATTCATCAAACACTATATGAGTAGTCTCCTCCATCACCAATGTCCTTTTATTAAACACTCTGAACGATTTCCCCACACTTGAATATCTTAAGAACACTCCTTCATCAATTTTAGGTCAAATTTTCTTAAGAGTGATTTTCCATTGTTAAGAATAAAAAACTTATAACTAAAGACGTGGAGGTGTGAAATATTGGGTGTCCTACCCTTAATGATCTCATAGGGTATCTTATTCAATTTAGATCTAACATTCTATTAAATAAAAAAATAGCACAAATATGGACATCGTCCTATATGATTAGAACCCTTATTTATTCTGATCGTCTAGGACGATGTGGACATTGTTATATAAGATTAGTTCAAAACCCTACATATCATCCATCACATCATTCTATTCGTCTAGAGTCATATATGTTGGACGATGAATAAATATAATATATCGTTCAGGACAATCCTTGAATCGTCCTTTACAATTAGTTTAAAATCAAGGATTTTTGTCAAAAACATCGTTTGGCTTGTCTAGGTGATCCATGAGAAAATGAATGTTTTTATAACTAATCATCCATGATGATATGATCGATTCAATCAAATATTAATTACTTTCTTTAATCACCTGATTAATTTAGGCATGATTGCAATGAATCATCCAAGACAATATGAGATTGTCCTATATGATTACTTAAAATAAAATCATACCTAAACGAGTTGGCAACTGATGTTTTTTGATTTAGGCCTATTGTCCAGGACGCTTTGTTTAACTTGGTTGTCTTAACTAGGATGCCCTAATTAAGATTTTTATTTTTATCTGATTATCCATGATGATTTTGTATCGTCCCGGACAATATGATCAAAAAATAAAAAACTCTAAAACAGACAAAATTTCTCCTCCTGAGTGTGTGTGCAAGGTTACTTAATATCATGATCTACTTTATTACATTTTACTCAAGAAAAAGGTAAAAAACTCTTGAAGTACACTTAAAGACTAACTCAGTCCTAATCTATCATTCTTGAGCTGGCTTGAATTGCAATTGACCTTGAGAACCTAAAATGTTAGTAGGGAGGGCAACCAAAACAGATATGCAATAATAATCATAGTAAGAAAATATAAATGTCAGAAATATTTGCTCTCGTCAAAATTATAATCATTGAATCCATGTTCGCAACATGATAGTGGTCAAGCAATCATACTTTGGCGATAATAGTTGGATGACATGTATCGGGTGATAGCATTCACTAGCAACAATCATATACATTAATCATTGGCCTAGCTCTTTCCAACTTTAAGTCAAGCTATATGTTTGAGCCCCCTCATTTGATGAATGAAGGGCTATTTATAGATTTTTTTTTTGTTTCATTTCGATAATTTGGACAAAATATCCAAGTATTCCCTTAGGCAATTCATCTTGATACTTTTAATTATATATCTTTCTTTAATTATTATAAGCACTTTAATGATATTTGAATTGAGTGATTTTTTATTTATTAGATTTCACTTGCCAAGATGTTTGCTTTGACTACGAACATACAAGATTTGGAGATTGTTTGACCCTTGAATAATATCATAACATTTTTAACAATATTTCAAACGTTTGGATCATTTGGATTTCACTTTTGAAATAGCAAGGATTATCTTATCAAAATATTCATTTATAATATAAGTTTGTTGAAATTGAAGTTCTACATCAAAATTCACACTTAATTAATTAAAATTTTTAATAAAATAAAATTATCATACTACTTAAAAATGAAATTCTGAAAATATATTACTAATTATATATATATATATATATCCCAACCCATTTCTCTCCTATATTCCACGGCAAAAATGAGAGTGAAGGGCACGATAAAAAACGAAAACCCTACCTTTCTCTCTCCCCCTCTTTTCGCTCCCCTGCTGTTTCATCTACGCACCACTTTCTCTTGCTGAGCTCCTGCATCTCTCTGTTTACACAATCTCTGTTTTTCGACCTTGCCCATCCGATCCCTCTGCCCTTTGGACGAATATTACGTACGGTTCTCAATGGGCTCATCTGTTTCTTTTGATTCTTATTATTGTTTGAACCATGATCATGTTTGATTTGCAGATCTCTGTTACCGTTGCCTTCTTTTTTGTTTTTCTGTTGGGGTCTTCCATTTTATCTGGCATTTGCTACGCGCTTCCTGCTTGATGAAATGCACCGCACCACATTAGTTTATTATTGATGTTTTAAGGATCACAGCTGTGCTGAGACTTCTGTTTCTGAAGCAAATTGTGAATAGCTTGCCGGTTTGACTTCTAGTTGAGGTTTGTTATCGTTGTTCTACTCATCTGATGATGCCCTTTATTTTACTTTTAGATTTATTATTACCTTAATTCTTTTTTTTTTTATATTATTTTTCTTTCTTTGCTCGCACCAAGAGCTGGAAATTGCTAATTCTTCTTTTTGTTTCAGCTAGGATAATGTGTGTACAGACAAATGGATTCCTTTGAATAAATTTTCCATCACTATGCTATTAATCTTGATGGTTAATATTATTATCTTTATGATTATTACTTTCCATTAAAAGTCCAATCTTTCCCATTGCTTTTTTAACTTCTAACTATTCTACATGGCATGCTAAATTTCTATTGCGTTTATATATCATTAGCGTGATGCACAATGTGCCTATTAAGTATATTAAATGTTTGTATTTCACTCTTTTATGAAATTGAACAACAGTATGCTTATCAGTAGCTTTTACTTATTTCATTCTTAAGTTGTTATTGTATTATTTGCACTCTTAACATTTATTTGAATGCAAAAAAAGGAATAAATGTCTATTGTAGTGAGTTATACTGAGATTGAAGGTAGATGTTGACCTCAAACAAAATTTTGCAATATTTCCTTATAGTGTTAACTTAGGTAGAAATGTTACATAGTTATTCATTCTCAAATCAATCAAGATTAGGCCTTGAGTCTATTTTGAAATGAAAGAACCCCTTTCACTGATTCCATAGAACCCTAACATGCTTGAAATGGATTTAAATTGAATTATTTATGAATTTCCAAAATCTAAATCAAATTTTAACCTAGTTTTTTTCAAATTCATAAACTAAGTGACATTACATCAAAATGACTTAAAACAAATATGGAGCATCAACCTTAGCTCTGCCAAGTTTCAGCCAAAAATATTTTATATATTTTTATTTAAAAATAAAGTTAGATTCTATGTATTACTGAAATTAGTAATAAAATATTGATCAAAATAGTTTTTAATTATTTTTAAATATAGTATTTGAAAATACGAACAAAACGAGCCTAAGAAGTCAAAAATTGAATAAAAAATGAAATTCTTGTGAATTTTTGAAGTTCTGGATATTTTCTGGATTTATTTTGGGATTTTAATAGCCTGGTCAAAATGGCGGCACTGACCAGACACGCATTAGCAGTGGGTTCTACAGTGTGGACGGCGGCGGTCATGCGGGGCCCTCCAGTTATCCAGCGCGGCAGAACTATAAGCCGTCGAATCTAACAATGTGTTAATCCGATGGTCAAGATTGAACCCACGGTATCAAGTTTGATTCAGTTTAATCGCACGGTCACCTGAGCTCATGCGGTTTGGATCAACGATGTAGATCAGGCCAGACGGGGATCTGGCTAACTATAGTTTCAAGAGATCGAAACGAGTTACAAATCAGCCTTAATCGCAGCCGTTGATCTATGATGAATGGATCTAACGGCTACAAACTCGTCTTCCCCGTTTGAACACTCGCAAACCCTAAGTTCATTTTTCATCTTGTTTTCGCCAGATACATAATAAAATTATTTCAAATTTTGGACAGAGATAAAATAGGGCATAAGGAACAGTGCGGAATTAATTTTGAGCCATTTGATGTAATGTATATAATGTTATTTAGGAACCTAGAAAAAATCCTAGGGTTGGAGATTTACCTTAGTATAATGGATGGATTCGATTGCTATCAATGAGGTTGAGCTTGTGGGTTGTCTACGTTTACTTCTTCAGGAGACTTCGAGTTCAAATGAAGTTTCTACCGAGAGCTCCAACAACTAGGACAATTCAAGCTTCGGTTGAACTTTGATCTCGCCGTTAGCAGCCACCAAATGCCGCGAAATCAATGGGGGATGAAGAGGAATAACTGGGAACTCAAAACAAAAAGCTAGAGGGTTCTCAGGGTGAGTAGAATACGAGCTAGGTTAGAATCAAGCCTTCCGCCCCTCTTTGCCCTATTCATCTGTTGGAGCCAAAAAGGATGGTCCAGATGCTTTACAAGGGATCCTTGGATGGAATACACGTGTCCTAGGTGGTTAAAGGGGTAGAGAACGTACAACTCAGGTGACAAGGATGGATGTCCTTCCCACATAGAGGGGGGGACCACAAGCCAGTTGGGACTCGTACTAGGGCTCGGGTTGGGTCAAGTTCGCTCCCAGGAAGGTTTTGGAGTAGTTTGAGTGAGCTATATAGGCTTGGTTTGGGCTGAATGAGTTTGAAATTACATTAGGAGTATGGTGGATGTGGTTTCAAGGTTCAAATAGGTCGTTTGGATCAAATGAACCTATTTGGGCCTTTAATGGGCCATTGAGTCAATCCTGGTTGACTTGGTCAACCAGGTGGTCCGGAGTCTAAAAATGGGTTCAACAGATTTAAAATAGCATTTAGAGTCTATTGGGTGTGATCCCATGGCTTAGATAAGTCATTTCAGTCAAATCACCTGTTTGGACCCTTAAAGGGCCTCTTAGGTCAACCAAGTTGACTTGGTCAACCAGGTTGACCCAGAGTCTGGGAATGGGTCCAATAGGTTTGGTTTGATATTTGAAACTTCCTGGAGATGGTTGCATTTAATTTGGAGCTCATTTGATCCAAAATGGCTATTCATACCCATGAGGGGTATTTTGGTCATTTTGACCTCATGTCGACTGGAGGCTGAAATGAGTCCAACAAAATGCAGTTTATTGATCAACATGTCAAGATTAAGGGTCTGGAAGTGATTGGAGACTTTGGAGGAAGCTCCAGGGTCAGGATTCACTAGGTGGCAGGTCTAGTGGCATAAGCCATAAATATTTGAAGGTTTTATAGCCTTTGGATTTCAATTGAGTTTCTAGGTTTAGAGAGCTCAGAATAGGCTCAAATTTGGAGGGTTGCCTCTAGAGACATGTCTTATCACTTTGCAAGTGATAGACTCTGAATCAGAGATCATTTGACTGGGTTTTGAAGTATTTGAAAATTCACTGGAAAAGGCCTTTAAGACAGGGCCTTTGGACTTAGGATTTGAGTCTGGATTTTGAATTTGGAAGAGTGATATTGAATTATCCAAGTAATTTATAATCATTTAGATGATTATAAGTGATTGGATAGGTTTAGAGCTAGATCAAAGATAAAATCAAGGTCTGGATTGAAATTTGGATTCTTAACTGGATTGGATTAAAGTTTCAATGGGTTTGAAGCTTGAATTGATTTGAATTTGATTTTAAGATCCTATAAAGACCTCATACATAAATGAGGTCAACAATTATGATTATCCAGACATTATAAAGTATGATTAGTTCAAAACCCTACATATCATCCAACACATCGTTTTATTCATCTAGAGTCTATATGTTGGACGATGAAGAAATATAACATATCATTCAGGATGATCCTTGAATCGTCCTGTATGATTTGTTCAAAATCAAGGATTTTCATCCAGCACATCATTCGGTTCGTCTAGTTGATCCAGGAGAAGACAAAGGTTTTTATAACTAATCATTTAGGACGATCCTGCTATCATCTAGGATGATCCTGCTATTCTTCAAGATGATATAATCGATTCAATCAAACATTTATTGCTTTTCTTAATCATCTGATTAATTTAGGCATGATTGCAATGAATCATTCAGGATGATATGGGTTGGCGGCTGATTCTTTCTGATTACTTAACATATCTTCCTGTACGATTACTTAAAATAAAATCATATCAAAAAGAGTTAGTGGCTGATTTTTTCTAATTTGAGCCTATCATTCAGGATGATGTTAATATCTTCTAGGACGATTTGCTTAATACAGTTTCCTTAAGTAGGATGCCCTAATTAGAGTTTCTATTTTAATTGATCATCTAGGATAATTTTGGATCGTCCCGGATAATACAATTCAAAAATAGAAAAACTCTAAAACAGACAGAATTTCTCCTCCTGAGTGTGTGTGTGTGTAATGCTACTTAGCAAAAGATCCACTTTATTACATTTGACTCAAGAAAAGGTAAAAAAACCCTTGAAGTATACTTACAGACTGACTTAGTACTAATATACTCAATCTTGAGCTAGCTTGAATTGCAATATCTTGTGGACCTAAAATATTAGTGGGGAGAGCATCCAAAATAGATATGCAATAATAACCATAGTAAGAAAATAGGAATGTAAAAAATATTTGTTATCGTTAAAATTATAATCCTTGAATCAATGTTCTCAATAATCTCCCCCTTTTTTATAATTGCAAACATTTTTTAGGAAATTCAACTCAAGCATATTAATGAAGCATAAAGTAAAGAAGAACAATATGAATCAAGCAATGAAAATTTTACTAAAAACAAGTAGGTGATACAAAAACCAAACACCAGAGTACAAATAAAAATAATAATACATCAAAACAACACTAACACTAGCACTACTTCCACTTTTAACATCACAAAAGGAGGACGAAGAAGAAAAAACAAACAACTCAGAAACTAACAATAGTACAAGAAAAAAAAAACCAATAAAAATAAAATATAAAATAATAAAAGATGATAGAAGTAACAAAAAGAACAAAAAATAAAGTTTTTTCTTATCAAAGCAAGAATATAATAAATTTTCAATGTGATTGAATTAAAAATTTGTAACAAATGAGTTAACATTACTGAAATCTAAAAAAAGATAGAGAAATTGATCATGTTTTCCCTAGCTCAGATTCCCTACAATGTAAAATCTTTTGAAAACAAAAATCTAACTCAAAAAGAAAAGCAACCAAGAAAAGTGATCTATTCAACACTTCATTCAAGAAAATATATCTGATAGAGTAATGTACCAAAGAATTATCCAAAATCAAGGGTTTCAAAAATCAAGTGATTGAAGATATCAAGTAACATATGAATTCTTCTAAGATTTAAAGGTTTGAAAGAGAAGCAAGCTTGATTTTTATGGGCTCATTTTGTGTCTCTTACCATTTCTTTGATGCACTTTACGTATTTTTTGAGTTTTGATACACTATGTATATCTTTCAAATTTTTTGACGATCATTGCACATCTTTTCACTTTTTTGGGGCTTAATTTATGCCTCTTATCATTTTTGTAA